CCATCTGTCATCCTGTGCATGCTGCTCATCCTGCCATCATGGAAGGAAAAATTCAGTATGAAAAGTTCATCTTGTTTGCTTCATGTACTTTGTAACAATTGATCTAGTCTGCAGTATAAAGTTTCAAGAGGAAATATTTAATTAATAATCCTGCCACCAAATCATTCCAATTTCCTTTCTATACAGTGACAAAGAGCAACATTTATATGTATGCACATGAACTCTATAGGATTTTATAATGATTGTTTCAAGAAAGGTGCGAATAGCTCTCTTTTTGCTGTTGGATCACTGGTCTTTAAAATTCTTATCAATACTTGTCAAATTAGGGAAAATTATAGCCCGTCTGACCAATGAATCCAGCCTGCCTGGACGACTGTTGAAACAAGAGGTGAGTCTTGTCTTTTGAGGAAGCATTACTGGAGACCAGCTTCAGCTGAAGGTGGCTGGTTGCTGGTAATGATGAGAGAAACACAACTCTACAGCCGGAACCCACGTGCAACCTCACTGCCAGCCCCAGCCACTGTACCGCCTCTTGGCCCTGGTCAGTCCCCACCACTGCTTACCATAAGCCCTGGAGCTTATGCACCCACGAAAGGAGCCATTGCCCCTCACTAAAGTGCCCAAAAGCTGACACAAGAATAAGAAAACTGTTTTGGCTTCAGTCAGCTCATTTATCCAACACATCCCATGATTGCACAAGCACTGGGGGCATTGGAAACATGGTTTAGGATGAAAGGACTGAGGTGGTGCTGCCAGCTCTTTTGACTGCAACCTGCAATTAGAGTCATTTAAGCTGATTGTGAAACTACAGGGTATTTAGATTTCCCTCCACTGCTTGTAGAGGGGAACAAAATGAGGATAGCCTTAAAGCACAAAAAAGGCCTTGTTTTTGTGAAGGATCACATTGATCTGCCAATAGGCACACTTAAAAGGTCCATGAACATGAGGTGGAGAAATGGCTGGTAAAGAGAAAAGGCTCACAGACTGAAGAGTTGCAAGTTACACTGCAGAATCAGCCTTCATCTGTAAAGATCCTACATGATGCCACACAAGCCATTTAAATCATATATTTGCATGTTTATTCTCAATTTTCTGAGCGCCTGACACAAGCCCCTGGGCCAGTCACATGGCTGCAATTGAAGCCAATGTTTCCAAAGGTCTCTGTGTGATGAGGAGCTGCTGTAAGCATGGTTAAGGGTACAGGGAGAATGGGGGCAGGAGCCACATGGTCTCTCCAGCTGATGATTAGACAAGATTTGAGTAAGCTAAGGAGTATAGCTGTATCTCCATGCAGAGCAGCTCTGCATGAATGACCTTATTTTAGTCACCATCTCTCAAGTTCAATCTGAAAATGTGTGTTTTATTCTTTTTTCCTGTCCAGAGTCAGAAATTCAGAGGTGACCCCAGTGCCTGCTTAAGACCCCAGTGCACCAAATCCCTATCAGTTCTGGATCATGGCTCCAGGAAAGCCCGTTTCTGCTTTACCTCAGGCACTACCACTGCCAAGGAAGGATAAAAAACAACCACTGCTGCACAGGTTCTCCAATGCTCAAGGGATATAATGGATTAAGTAGTGAATGCATTAAATGATCCCTAACTCTAATTAGCTCCCTCTGTGTTTGTAACACTACAGCCTCATACAAATGGTTTCTAATGACACATGAAGTGTCTACGAACAGGGTAATAGCTATTTAAACAGTTGCTGATCCCTAAGCTGGTGCATGACAGTGTACTTTACAATTATTGAGAAACTATGGTCATTTTTTAAAAGTGTTCTGGGCATTGACCTAGAGAAAAGCTTGGTTAGATGAGAGCAGAGATTGTGCCCTTTCCCTAATGGTAACAGATAGATAATGTTCCAGTTGTCAGACATTACTGCTACCCCAGTTTTGATTGTCCTCTTTACCACTCTTTCTCTGCAGTATGATTAGCAAAACAAATAGCCTGCTCTCAAATCATGCCCACAGTACAGGCACTCAAGAAGTGTCAAGACAGTCTGCTGAAAAATATTTCTTATGTGTGTGTTTCAGTAACTATGCCAACATACATAATGTTCAGAAATGAAAGCTTGCTCATTTAATACTGGATCATAAGCTCATCAGGGAGTAAGACGTATCAAATGTACCAAGAGGAAAGGCTGTCAGCCACACTGGGCAGCTGGGGCCTCTTTGCATGGACCAAGTTTCAAGCTCGGGGTTGAAGTCTAGAGTTTTAAACTTTAAGATGCTATAACTTCTTAAAATAATAATCTCCTTTGATCTTGTTCCTCAAGCTAAGAATGAGATTTTTATTCAAGAACAGTCTTTTGGAGGAAGAAGCATGGAAAATTTCAGCTCTTTTGAATTATGAAGCCCAAAAGCCAAAGCTCAATAGAAAACAAGTTTGAAACTTCAGGTACTCCAGTAATAACCAGCCAATCCATTGTAGATATTTTATTCACCAAAAATAAGCAGAAAGTATGCCATCGTTCCTGAAAAGCACATTGTGCCAAAAGAAACATTCATTTCTTACACAAGATGAAAATTATATCCCGTTAGAGATTTGTTTTTAATGAAGACAGTGTGTCATAACACCTTTCACCTGACCTTGAAATGACAACACGCCTTATTCACTTTGGTCATCAGCTTTCACTTCACAGGAAATGGAGAATAAATTTAATTTTCTCTTTTATAAACACATGCACTCACACATACACGCTAATTTAAATGTGATTTCCTGCTATTTGAATGCTACAGATCTATCTCAGCATGCAGAACTGCTGCCAGTAAAGCCTGATCTACCCACTGAAGGCAAGACAGCATGAATGGCAGGGCAAAAGAGGACTCCTCCAGCCACCCAGGTCTAAGAGCTGATACCCGAGCCAGTAACTGAGGTTTTCTACCAGTTTCCTAATTTATGGCCACGTGGAGTCTCAGTCAGACAGGGAGTGAATGTATATGGCTGCAAAGCCACACTAAAACCTGCTTCACTGTGAGGAAGACGTAAATACATTTCATTTGTAGTGGTCTTTGCTCAAAGCAGTATCAGAGGGAGAAGCAGAATTGCAAGTTTTCAGGTAAGCAATATTTCTTCATTTTCAATTTGGAGGGTTCAAGATTGAGATGAGGAACAGGTCAGCAGTGCAAGAAGGCTAAACTGGGGATGAATCAAATATTCTAGTAAATTTTGTCTAACTTGACTTGAAATATACCAGTTAGAGACATAACGGTGGGTAACAGTGGTATCACTGAGCAGCAGAAAAGAGAAAATATGCATATTCCTAGCTTTTTTTGTGATTGTAAATCTGAATTTGTTTAAAACAAACTTCATGGCCTTTACTTAATACATCTTTGACTGCAAAGCTGCTATACCAGAACTAATGTTCATGTTAAAAAGCATTAGCATTTTAACTAAATTGTGGGGAGACTGTTCAAATTTCTCTCTGAAATGCTCCTGAGTAACAGTGATACTCATCTTTCCGATGGTTATGATCAAATAATTCCTGTTGTGTCCCAGCTTTCGTGACTGGCTTTGTCAGAGCAAATTGGCCATCCTCCACCAGTCATTGGAACAAAGAAGAAACAGTTATACAGGTAACATGCTAAATACTGTTAACTGAATCACATCAAAAAACTATACACAGGCTTTGCAGAACTGAATAAGGTGCAATTCTGTCTTCCCCCTCCCTTTTTTTTTTTTTTACGTATTGATTTCACCCTGAATGTTCAATGTAGCATTGTTTTTGTTTAAAGATGCTGTTTCTGGGACAAGGGAAAGGTTCTAGGCTTCACAGTACCCTGTCTAATACTTTTGGAAATCTCTTTAAAATATTTTCTTACATGAATTTAGTTAGGATCTGGAGGAGTGGTGCTCACCTGAGATGCTGAAGACACACAGTGACACACTTCTTGCCACACTTGAGATATCCAGGTGTGAACTAGTATCCTTTTATCAACGGAAAGAAATAGGTATGCCAAAAGAGTAAACAATGTATCTTAGAAACCTCAATTATGGGTAGGCATATTATATCCTGGAGGAACTTATATCTTTCCCTTGATGATAAAGGGAAGCTTAGGATGACTGGCTTCACTGTAAGTATCTAACTTTCTGATACCTGACTTCAGTTAAGATGATTTTCATCCTTGGTTGCCATTCTTTCAGGATAAAACACTACCAAGAAGAGCTTATGTCTTGAACTCACTGGAGACATCCAAATTGGCTATGGCAGACAAGAAACTATTTCAGAAACAAGTTTATCTTGCTCAAATTGACATGGAATGGGAACCAAGATCAGTGCCTTCCCTCAACATCTGTGCTTTCCATTTTTCCTCTGACATTTGAGGGGACTTTAATAATTTCAGCCAGTTTTATGCCATTATGAAGCTTGATTAAAAAACAAAACAAAAAAAATAACCCAACCTCCCCCCCCAAACAAAACATTTATACTAGCTTTATACTTTGATGACTCCAAGAGAATAAGACCACGTTCAGGGAACAAGCCATTAATGTCATGTTATGGGAGCATCAGATCCTCAGATCTGTATCCGAACCTAATATCTTTTAACTTTCATGAAACCAGAACTGCATCTCTGGTTCGTGAACATGAAACACTGATTAGCTCAGATTAATGAAGATAATATATGGTTATGGGTCTACTTTCTGAAAGGTTGAGACTAGTTCACAGTTTCACAAAATCTAAGCCCAAACTCCCTCTAGATCTCTAAATGTCTGCTTCCTACTCCTGAAAGTTTACAGATAAGCAGTAATTGTCTTCTTCAATGTAGGAGGTTTAAAAGAGTAAAATTAATAATTATCAAAATAAAATGTAAAGGAGAGGAAAGGGTAAAATTAAACATTTGAATAGGGTTATCTAGGTCAGACTGGGTATATTAGCAAATCCCCATCTTCTCTCACTACTATGCCTTCTCAAACATACAGCATCTTCTCCAGCGACAAAAGGTTTAACTGAAAGCACTTGTCCCAACAAATCAACTAAAACTAAACATCTGATTTTTGTAAAGCCTTAAGAAGATTTCTGCAAGCATGGCATCTGAATCCACCAGCAATTTCACTGCTCAGCCAAGCCACGCAGGTCCATTGACAAGCTGCAAGGATGAAGATTTCTTACGGGTGAAATTCTACCTCTCCATCATTTACAGCCTAATCTTCCTGGTGTGCTTCCCAGGGAACATAGTGACAATTTTTGTTTACTTTGCTAAGATGAGGCCCTGGAAAAGCAGCACCATCATTATGTTAAACCTGGCCATCACTGACCTGTTGTATGTAGTCACACTTCCTTTCTTTATACACTACTTTGCTAATGGAAATAACTGGATTTTTGGAAACTTCATGTGCAGGTTTATTCACTTCTGTTTCTACTTCAACATGTACAGTGGTATTATCTTCCTTAGCTGCTTCAGCATCTTTCGCTTTTTGGTAGTTGTCTACCCAATTAAATGCCTTTTTCTTCAAAAACAGAGATGGGCAGTGGTGACTTGCATAGTCATTTGGATGATTTCCCTGGTGGCCCTCAGCCCCTTGGCCATCTTGATTTTCCCAAAGCATAAGCAGAACAGGACGATCTGCCCAGACTTGACTGATGCTGAGGATCTTGACACTAGTCGGTGGTATAACTGGATATTGACTGTGTTTGCCTTCTTCTTGCCTTTGCTGACTGTGACTCTGTGCTATGTGCTTATTATTTACACCTTGGCTACTGGGCCTCACACAGGGGGTTGCTATAAACAAAAAGCTCGCAGACTTGCTGTTGTCCTCTTGGTGGTCTTCTATGTGTGTTTCCTCCCCTTCCACGTCTTTCGAGGGGTTCGTCTGGAGCTCCGAGTACGACCAGCTCCCTGCCACTTGAAGAAAACAATCTTTTTAGTGTTTATTATGACTAAACCTTTAGCAGCATTAAATATTTTTGGAAATTTACTGCTCTATGTAGTGTCAGGAGATAACTTCCAGCAGGCGATCCTCTCACTCCTCAAGTTTAGGACAAACAAGAACTTGAAGCAGAAGAGATTGATGCCACAAAAAAGTTATGGAGGAAGGGTACAAACCTGCTGTCAACCAGCCAGGCACAACCTCCCTGCCATTGGAGTACAGAGGTTAACCCTGACAGTGCTAAAGAAGAGTTAATCTGTTCTGTTTCGAGTTACAAATTGATCATCAAAGAAGAAAACTTATAAATTAAAATAAAAAGCTTTAAATAAAATGCTAAAAAATTAAAATTGAAACTTCTCTAGAAATTTTTCTGTGTTTGCTTCCTGAATCCTTGACAGCTCTTTTAGGGACTAGACAGTTCCAGAAAAAAATAGTTGCTCATTAGTGGCAGATATAGATTCAGGGTGGGAGAAATTTGAAATTAGTTTTATTAACTTAGAAGTTAAGTGTCTAGTCTAAGCTAGGAACCAGCCTTTGACTTCCTTCCTAAAAAATGGAGAGTGGAAGATGCTCCAGAGATCAACTCCTGTCTTAGGCCTATAGGATGTTCATCTCCTCTCCCTGGAGAGGGATAGGTGTACCCATATAAGCTAATCACCTTGTCCTCGTTTTATAATTTCCCATTATAGTGGAGAGAAATAAGCAGTTTTAGAGTGTGAGTCACCAAATTATTCTTGATGTCTGCATTTGGACAAGATGGATCATGACCTAAGAAGTGCCTGTTTCTCTCCACTGACCATAAAAGGTAAGTAGATCAGATACAGACTCAAATATTCCTGACTGCTTTTAAACAGCTGAGAACCAGCTCCAGTACAGACTGGAGTGGATCCAGAGGTGGCTAAAAGTGGGGGTTACACATTAAGACCCTGTTCAGTGACCATCTGAAGATTAATGGTGCAATAATGCAAGATCTCTCCTATAAGGGTTTTCCACACTACTGATGTAGAATCCATAGAATCATAGAACAGTTTTTCTTGAAAGGGACTTTTAAAGGTCATCTAGTCCAGCCACCCTGCAATGGTCAGGGACATCTTCAACTAGACCATGTTGCTCAGAGCCACATCCAACCTGACCTCGAATGCTTCCAGGGATGGGGCACCTGCCACCTTTCTGAGCAACCTGTGACAGTGTTACACCACCCCCATTGTAACAAATTCCTTTCTAATTTCTAATCTGAATCTACCCTCTTTTAATTTTAAACCATTACCCCTTGTCCTATCATGACAGGCCCTATTAAAAAATATCTCTCCGTTTTTCTTATAAACCCCTTTTAAGTATTGAAAGGCTGCAACCAGGCCTGCCTGGACTCTTCTCTTTTCCAGGCTGAACAACCCCAATTCTCTTTGCCTGTCTTCATAGGAGAGGTCCTCCAGCCTTCCAATCATCTTCCTGGTCCTCCTTTGGACTTGGTCCAACATCTTTCTTATGTTTGGAGCCCCGGAGCTGGACAGAGCACTATAGGTGGGGTCTCATGAGAGTGGAGTAGAAGGGGAGAATCACCTCCCTTGACCTGCTGGCCATGCTTCTTTTTATGCAGCCCAGGATATGAACATACATTGCTGGCTTGTTTTTCATACTACCAAGTCCTTCTCCACTGTTCATAGACAACACAAAGTAATTTTTGCCCATTTAGTTATTCAGTGAAGTTCTGCTTGGTCACACCAAGTAAGGAACAGCTTTGGGTAATAAACATATCTGAGAGGCAATATGTGCTGTCTCACAGGAAAAAAAAAATAGACTTGTAAGAAAGTGCGAGTCCAATACTTGAAGATATATCTAGAGAAGTCTCAGGATCAGCTGAAGTACCCTGGCTAACAGCAACTCAAAGCTATTAGCAACATAATATTCAGAGTCCAAAAGTATGATCACAGAGTGAATCCTCCAATATATTTCTATAACAGCCTTATTTCATGTTTCATTACTTTTGCTCTCTACTCCAAAATGTCCATTAATCAATGGCAACACATGCTGCTGCAAGGCTCTCATGCAACCCTTCTCCTTATCCAATCCCTCTGTGCATGTCCCGGTCTTCACGTGACCACCAGACCAAGACCTCTAAACCACCATTACCATTAGGCACATGCCTGAGTGACTGGCAGACAGCCTGTGACTCCTCTGTGGCATGGGGAGCCCATCCTCTGCCTATCTCGCAGTTGACTTGGGAAGAACAACAGGAAACAGAAAGCAACGGGCTTTTTGAGGGAATGAGAGGAGATGAGACATAAGAAGGAACAAGATGGGGAAAGTAAGAACAGCATTTGTCTGGTATAGGGTAGAAGAAAAGTTCTGTAAAGGAAAACTTCTGTCAGAAAGCAGAGGAGGAAGACATTTTGTTCCTGAAATAGGCCCACTGGATTTTAATCCACACTTAGGCATTCATCAAGGTAACTTTTAAAACTTCTGCACAGTGCAGCATGATCTCCCCTGTGACCACTATCCAGCCTCAAATTGTGGATGAGATCTTAGGCTGAAAAAGGAATTTAACCTAATGCTGGCCTGGAAAGATGTTGCATGATGCAAACCTCCAAAAGATGTAAAGAAAATGCCTCCCACAACACATACTGCATTGTTTTTGCCAGTCTTCAAGGGGTAGTTCTTCCTTCTCCACTGCACTTACAGTGCTGCTCTCAGCCACTTGCTCCTGAGACACCAGTGAGAGCTGAGAAGGTTGACCATGAGAAGGCAATGCTGAACATGGCATCTTAGCTGTTTTTTCAGTTTAGGTTATTCTATCGACAAACCACCAAGGGTTTTTTTAAACAAAATCAGGCTTATACATTATCTTTTAAGCCTCTACTGCATGTCAACACAGAAGTTTTAACTCCAGTTGAGTCCTACCTTACTGCCTACAGTGTGGAGTCTAATATATTCGCTTTCAGGAACAAACGATATCAGGATGTTCAAGAACAAATGTTCAAGAAGTAAAGGACAGGCCTGTATACTCCATCTGCTATGGATAGAGCACCAATCCTTGAGTAAGTATCACATTGTGATCATTTACTCCTTATGTTTGCAATGTTCTCACAAGACCAGAGCATTATCACATCCCCATACAAACCACAGAGACATAAAGCAAAAATATGCATTTTGTTGTTCTCAGGAGAGGCCCAGATGCATACCTCTAACCCCAGCACCTTTCTACACTGATTCACAGGAGGAAAAGCTGTACTAGAAGAGGACAAGAAGGGCTTTTTCTCGACAAATACAGTACTACTCTGGTGTCTGATTCCCAGAAATAATTAAAACCAAAATATCAGTTTCTAGAATAATTCCTTCCATAAGGCAACTAACAGTGATCACTCTTATAAAGCAAGTAGGAACTCTATCTTTGGAGTGCCACTGTGTGCACCATCTTACATGTGTTCTGCTCTCACCTTCAAACTGATCCTTGAGATTTTTGCAGCAGTGTGAGAGCAAGGGCTCTGACTGGTCTGTTTGAGGCCATCTCTGGAAGTGTGGAAGGTAGCATTTTAACCCCTTGGACAGACCTACCACCTTCATCTTCACAAAAAGCTCAGCTATCAGAAGGCAGGACTAGAGGGAGACTGCTGCAGGCTCAAGAAAATGTCAGAGAGCAAAACATTGTTCTCCACCTGTCTATCCCAAGTCACATTCCAATGGCCAAGAAAGAAAGAACAAGAATTACAGAATCATAGAATGGTTTGGGCTGGAAGGGACCTTAAAGATCATCTACTTGCAACCCCCCTGCCATAGTCAGGGACTCCTTCCACTAAACCAGGTTGCTTAAAGCCCCATTGAACCTGGCCTTGAACACTTCCAGGGATGGGGCATCCACAACTTTGTAGAATTTTTTACACAAAAATGGAAGAAACCCTTTCAAGGAGAAACCCAGGTGGTGCCATCAGCATGAAAATGGCAAATTGTCAGGCAGATCTGATAGTAACATGGGACTTCAGGACCTCACAACTATGCCAGTGGAACAAGGCTAGTTTTACCAGGTGTACAAACATCATTTGATCCCTACCTCTAAGGAGACAGAAACATCCATTTTAAGAATGCTTAAAGAGCCCAGCAGGCAGTCCAAGCCAACCTAATCAAATACCCTGTACTTCCTACAGACCTGTAGGTGTAATGTGCAGACCTGTGTAATGTGCAGGAATACATAAGGAACAATTACATGAAGAGGGGAGGAAAACCCATATCAAATTTGATGAGACTCTCATCTCTGAATGAATATGACACACACCCATACCCTTTCCTTTTGCTTCTTTAATATTGTTTTCATTTTTCACTGGCAGCCCATGTTCTGGAATACCTTTGCAGATCCCACAAGAGGAAGGAAATATGGGTCTACCTGCTGGCACAGCTGTGGGGAGGGATGGCCCTGTGCACAAAGACTTTGTAGAGCAACCCACAAAACAGAGTTGGTTACATTTGGTTTAGAAGCGTAACCACACAAGGATGGACATCCAAAATGCTCTTTGGTCTTGCATCAGTGGTGGAGGACAAGAAGCTTACTCCAATTTATCGGCTGTGTCCATTCCCAAGAAGTAAAACACACTATTATTTAAGGACTGTATTAAAAAACTATGACTGCCAGTAACCTTTCTTTTTCCATATGTACAAATCCAATGCAAATAGCCATCTAGAATATCCCCACAGATCCATCAGCAGATTTCCACTTTATAAAACTACCTATCCTAACATTAACCTCAGTGGCCGCTCATGGGTTTGCGTATGCAAACCCCGAAGAACGGAGACATGGATGACTTAACTTGCATGAGGTTGAGAGCATTAGCCACAGGCATTAGCACAGGCATTCAGGTGGTAGCCACAAATTATGTTGAAATTTTGAATCTGTTGTCTAAAGCCTTCCCAAACTCCTGTGATATGCTGGGCCAGGATGACAGGGGTGGTGATAACACCAAAATAAAATATTAAAAGAGTTTGAGTTGGAAGGGACCTTTAGAGGCCATCTAGCCCTAACCCCCTGGCATGAGTAGGGACACTTTCCACAAGATGAGGTTGCTCAAAGCCCCATCCAACCTGACTTTGAACACTTCCAGGGATGGGGCATCTACCACCTCTCTGGGCAACCTGTGCCAATGTTTTATCACCTTCATTGTAAAAAGCTTTTTTATATCTATTCTAAATCAAACCCCTTTTAGTTTAAGACAATTGCACCTTGTCCTATTGCAACAGGTCTTGCTAAAAGGTTCTCCCTATCTTTCTTA